TCCGTCTACCTCCTCCAGGGCTCCGTCCCTCACCAAACTGCGACCTTTCTGTTTTGCAGTCGACCACAGCAGGATCCATCTTCAGCTGGGTACCAATGACTACATCAATGCCAGTCTGATTACTGTGGAAGAAGCTGAAAGAAGCTACATCCTAACTCAGGTTGGTGTGGCTCCGGGGCTCCGGGTGAAGCTGGGGGTGGGCGGGGCAGCTGTTGCATTCTGGCTCCGCCCCCGGCACTTATGACAGATGGAAAAATGAGTATTGCTAACCTCAGTGGATTGGGGTTTCAGTTGCTCGAAGTACGTATCTGATTTTATGTGATGGGTCAGAAATTCATTCGGCTTGAATGATGCGGAACAGCGTAAATGTACAGCCTGTTGAGTAAACCAGTTTCTGCTGGCAAACGAGGCATCCTGTAGCAAAGGAAGGTTTCATCTACAAGGTCTGTTGGCATCTTATGCATCTACGCTGTCCGTTGCGTACAGTCGCAGGTTGTAATGCACCTTGAGGTGCGTGTGACTACACGATGATAAGTTTGCAGATGTGAGTCTTTTCATGGTACATGCATTAAGACTTTAGATGAAAGGTTGGAAGGGCATAGATTGTGGGACAGTTGTTAAACTGGGAAGCAAAGTGGTCAAGTGTCAGGAAAAATGTAGCCTTTCTCGTGTGACTGCCTGCGTCTGGCTGCAGGCAGCTGTGACTCCGCCCTCTTCAAAAAAAAAAAAAAAAAAAGCTCTGAGTCAGGCCACATTTGCCCTTGTGTCACCCAAGTCGGTCCTAAAGCATTTGACCTATTTGCTGAACTTGCCAAGTTCACTGCTGGTTTTCAGAAGAAGTTCATCATAATTTCACCTCTGCCTATGGGGTGTGTGTGTCATGCGTTTTCAGCGTACATGTTGGAAAAACGTGTCCCACATCTTGCCCTTATTGTCCACTCCCTGCTTGGTTAAAATGTGGGTGTTGTGCCATATTTAAGTGAGAGAGAAAAAAAAAAACATGAAGGTTTACATCGCAACAGGATGTTGGGGGAAGGAGAGCCCCGCGAGTTACAGAGACGATGCCCCCTGCGGCGCTCGATATTACGACAGGAACCGGGCTCTCGCTGCGTCCTCCACACCACGAGAGTAAAGAGTTTAGCGTGCCGCTGTAAACAGCTTTGTTTGGCCCTCGGTAAACATGACTGGAAATGCTGTCGCCTCCTCTGATTCAAGGCTGCAGAAGTGAATTCGGGCCGAACGTCGTCTCGTCATGTCCCATATTGCTGTCTGGGCATGTCTGTATGTGTCCTCTTTACGTTTCTCTCTCACTTTAGGGAAGTGGCAAGTTCTCTCATTGGCTTAGATATCGACATCGGAGTGTGACTTCTGCGAACTGTGTACTCGATTACTCATGCCTGTATTTTGTTTTGCACATTAGTAGCTACTTGTACTGTACTGTGGCATATCAGCAGAGAACAAGCGGCTGCATCTGCGTGTGAATATAAAACTGTGCAGTGTCAGTCTTTCTCCAGTTTAACAGACTAATTGGATAGCATAGGTCCGGTATTGGTGAAACCCTGTTAAATTCAGATTACTGAATACATCTGTATGTGTGATTCCAGTTTTTCAATCAATTATAACCTTTTTGGACTCAAATCTTTACTATTTTTTTGCCCGTAGGGTATTAATAAAAATAGCAGAACACACATTTAGTTTTCAGTAGTATGATCTCAGGATTAGATTGCCTTCACAGTATGACTGATGACAATTCCGTAAAATAATATAAATCAAGGATTCACTGTACTATCAGAAGAGCTTATAATGTCCATTGTACTAAACAACAATCCATCAGACTTAACCTGAATGTGACCCAAACTGTGCTGGCCGTGTTTGGTGTCTTTGCCATGAAGGTGCTTGACAGGTGACACTTCATTAAGAACCAGATAGATCCTCTGGTCCTGATTGTGGTGGGATACTGGCAGCCAGATAGTCGACCGTTTTCTGGACCTCTGAGACTGTTGGAATTTTGGGATTTGTGCTCTGAGTTGGCGTCCTTGTAGTCTAGCGGTAGAGTCTCGATAGATTCGATGGTTTGGGACGGGGGAGAGGCCTTCGCCTTTTTGTGGTGTCTTTTTTATCTGGTTAATGTATTGCACTGCTGATGAGTATTTTGATATTGTGTTGCAAGTGGGATAGTAAACTGAGCAATATATTGGTTCATGGGTACAGTAGGTTGATAGAACAAGCACTGAAGATTGTTTAATGTCATGTAACCCCTGAAATACTCTGGTTGGTCTGCCAGAAGTCTGAGAATACTGCACTCAGTAAATTGAGTACTGGACCTTTAAATGATGTTAAGCCCAAAGATAGCTGGAGTCTCCTGGAATCTGTTTTTTTTTTGGTCGTTTTTAAATACATGCTTTTTTTTAAATAAATGTTAAGTTCCGGGAAAAATATAAATCTAGTTTCCCCTCTGTCAAATAGAATATCTTTATTGTCATGGTTCCCCCCTAATGCTATATATCATAAAAAAGTAATAATATACAGTATAGCAATACAGTATAAAGCTGAACTCAACGTGCATTAGTGTAATATATTCTTTTTAGCAGGATTCAATGTAACATAGTTTTTTTTTTTTAAGAAGTTTAGCAGCAGTCATATGGTTAATTATCAACTCTGTAACAGTTATATAATCCTGCTAATTTGTGTTATTTGTAAACTGTTGGATTTGTTTACAAGGGTTGAGTGAGGCCCAGGCTTCTGCTGCAGAGGTGGAAGCATGCTGCTTGTTAACCTCACGCAGAGCCCCTCATGTCGCCGTGCTCCACGTGCCGTGGTCTGTGTTCTCACACCGCCGTGTGTGTGTGTGTGTGTCTCTCCACAGGGCCCTCTGCCAAACACCTGTGGCCACTTCTGGGAGATGGTGTGGGAGCAGAGCAGCACTGGAGTGGTGATGCTGAACCGCGTCATTGAGAAAGGCTCGGTAGGTCACACGGAAGGCCTCCACACCGAAAGTGGGCGGGGATTGTCACGCGATGTCGGTTCCTGCCTTTGCCTCATTGGCCCTGACAAAACGGCCAATCAGAAGAGGTTTAAACCAGGCGGTGATTGGCCGGGCATGGTAAGCCCCATCCGCTTTGAGCGCCAAAGCCTCGTCGATAATAGAACCTTAAGTTACCTGCGTGGATAAAATGCCAGTGCTCGAGCAAGCTCTGCAGTGACTCACATCCTGGGCCCGTCCCCTGTAGCTGTTGTGAGGTTCATTCGATGGCCCTAGATGTTTTCTACCACGTACTTGTGTTATCTGTGAAATCAAATCATATCAGCTGCAGCTTTTGCTGTAGGAGGCTTTACCGTAAGTCCTCTGCACTCAGGAGGGTTGGCAGCCTCCTTTGCACACTTGCCTGCCGTGTGCAGTGATCTCCCGCTGACCCCTGTCATTAAAATTATGGTGCTTTATTTGGCATTTGCACGAGTACTAGTACATTAGAATTGTAGTTTTGCATGTGCCATCTTGGTTTCCTTTGTGACCCATATGAACAAGTGAAAGTGAAGCTTGGGGTCTGAGCTGAGGAACAGCCATTTATCCTGCAGCCCTGCAGCATTTCAGAGGGCTGTGGGCCCTGCTCAAGGAGCCTGTACTGCTGAGGATGGGATTTGAACCGGCAGCCCTCTGATCACAGGCACCACTGAGCCACACGCTGCCCCCTGTTCTCCTAGTTGAAGTATTTTACTCATTTCTCAGAAGGTGAGAGTACTGCTTCAGAGATGTCGAGTCTTTGGTGGAGCCGCAGTCTGGTTTCTACCGCGGGTTGTGAGATGCGCTCTGGCCCGGGCGTGTATCTGGCATGCTGGGAACTTGCAGTGATCCCATCCCATGTGGTTCCAGGTGAAATGTGCCCAGTACTGGCCCTCGCCGGAGGAGAAGGAGGCCCTGTTCCATGACACCAGCTTCAAGCTCACCTTCATCTCCGAGGACGTCAAGCACTATTACACTGTGAGGCAGCTAGAGCTAAGGAATCTGCTGGTGAGAGGGTGTCGTCCATCTCTTCCAGGACATATACAAGGGTGGGGTCTTAGGGGCACTCCCCCCCCACCCAAAGTATCTCTGCTCAGTCCTCCTCCTCTTCCCAGACTCAGGAGACCAGGAACATCCTCCATTTCCACTACACCACCTGGCCGGACTTCGGAGTACCGGAATCCCCAGCCTCCTTCCTGAACTTCCTGCTGAAGGTTCGGGAATCTGGCTGCCTGGACCCCGAATGTGGGCCCGTGGTGGTCCACTGCAGTGCTGGCATCGGCCGCTCTGGAACCTTCTGCCTCGTGGACACCTGCCTCCTGCTGGTGAGTCTGCAGGCTTGATCCTGCACTTTCACTCGAAGAATCTAGTTTGATGCCCTGATCTGTATTATTTTTGTTTGTTTGGTTTAAAATGCTTGATTTCAGCTGCATGAAATTCTAGCCACACATACGATTAATTTTAATCGAGTTTTTCCTCGAGTATAAACATTTTGAAAAAATTTAATTCAGCCTTGTCCAGTCGGCACCTTAACTGTGATCCTTGTCGATCAGGACAAGCCTACTGCTGTTTCTGTGTCACAATGACCGATCTGAGACTGTGCTCGTTCTGACAGCAGTGATGTCATAGTGTCCCCTCACATGCTCGAGATTCTTCATTCACACCATCCATTCATTTACGAATAACATCCAACAGGATTCGAAAGCACAAAACCACAAAGGCACTCACAAGACAATCAAAATAGTCATGAGTAGGCCAATTAGATGTATGTATTTATGAAATAAACACAAGATTAATCAAAGATATGGCTGCAAAAGGAATTTAGCAAGAGCGACGTGCATTCAATGGCCTCATTTTTATCACTTTCTTCAGCTGAATGCTAAGCTAAGTTTTAACAGCAGAACAAACCCAAGGCATAAGAGAATTAAGTTGCCGCCTGGGGCCCCGCGGCCACCAGGGGGCCCCCTGTATGATCAGCCTGTCAGGATGGGAAGGACAAATAGGTTTAATCAAATTTCACCTAGGACCCTAAAAAAGGTTGGGCCAGTCCTGGTTAACAGACCCGACCAGCTAACAGCTCAAGAGATGCCCTTCCTCACGTGATTCTGCCCGCCGCGCTGTCCGTCCTTCTGCACTACCTCCGCCGGCTCCGCGGTGTGTCTGATTGACTGCTCCACTGCAGATGTCCATGCGCGACAACCCATCGTCTGTGCGCATCCGCGAAGTGCTGCTGGAGATGCGCAGGTACCGCATGGGCCTCATCCAGACCGCCGACCAGCTGCGTTTCTCCTACCTCGCCGTCATCGAGGGCTCCCGCTGGATCACGGACGGCACCTCTGTGCAGGTGTGTGCAGGAACCTTCTCATGTGGGCGGGGCCTCTGATGTCCCTGGCAGTTGGTGCCCCAGTTGTGTCATTTGGTATTAAGGCCGTCTAAATGTTCGGATGTGAATTTGACGGATCAAAAACTTTAACAAAGAAATTGTTAAACTGGTGACACACTGTGACAGGAGTTTTTCTTGTTTCTTGAGAAACGTGCATAAGAAGCCGTCTGCCATTTGAGCATGAAGTTAAAAAGGGAAAAGGCGAACATACCAGATCATAAGAGCTTGAACTGTAAAATGACGGCAATTTCAGGTGGTACTTCAAGCACAATTATCAAAATTAATACTGTAGACATGGCAGCAACATCTACTACACTGGTCAAAGATTTTGTCACTGACCAGCTAATAGGTGTTTTGCTTTTTTTAATGCCGATTTCAGTAATACACTCATTTTTTCTCTCTCTCAGTTTGTGATGTCATTTTAGGCTGCCTTGATAGTCTATAATCCCTTATTAAGGATACACAGCGGGCTCCCTGCTGCTTGGGAAAAAGACGTGCATTTCCTTGATTTGCCCCTTTCCTCCACAGTTTAAAATTTCAAATCAAACAATTCAGATGTGATTAAGTGTACATTCCGTACTTTAATATAAAGTTATTTGCATACATTTTGGTTTCACCGTGTTGAAATGACAACACTTCTTGCACACAACCCCACCCCCCCTTCACTTCGGGGCACCATAACGTCTGGGACGTAGCAAAGGTGTGTATATTAAAACAGTCATGTTTGGTACTTTGTTGCATATCCCTTGCCTGCAACGACTGCTTGAAGTCTGCGATTCATCTCCAGATGCTGAGTATCTCCTCCAGTGATGCTCTGCCAAGCCTCTCAAGCAGCTGCCTTCAGCTCCTGCTCATTTCGGGGACTCGCCCCTCTAAGTTTCCTCTTAAGCAGGAAGCCACGCTCAGTTGGCTTTAAATCAGGTGACTGGCTTGGTCATTCAAGAATGCTCCATTTTTTTTTTTTTCATTTTGGAAAAACTCCTGCGTTGCCTTAGCAGGATGTTTGGGATCATTATCTTGGAGGCATTTAGTGGAATCTGAGCAGATATGTTTCTACACAGCTCAGAATTCATTGTACATCTACCATCAGCAGTTACGTCATCGGTGTAGATGAGTGTGCCAGTACCTGAGGCAGCCTCACGCGCCCAAACCATAACACCCACACCACCGTGTTTAACAGATGAGCTGGTATGCTTTGGATCTCGGACTGCTCCTTTCTGTTTCCACATTTTCCTCTAGCCATGGTTAATCTCTGCAGCTTTTCTCATGTTTAACAAATGGCAACTGCGGACTCCAAATGGTAGAAGCAAGCCAAGGAATCGTATCCATGCACTAATGAAGCTTTGAAACACACCAGAGTAAATCAAACATTTGTGAATCCAAATGTCCCAAACATTATGGTTCCCTGATATGAGGGGGACTGTATATAAGAAGAATTTCTACATAGTGACACATGTATACAAATAGCTTAAAAATAAAGTCTGCAATGTGCACTTTAATCACTTCTGAATTGTCCGATTTGTAATTTTAAGCTGTGGAGCAAAGGGGCAAATCAAGGAAAATGTCTTTGTCCTAAACATTAAGAAAGCACTGTAAGTTTTAAATTTGGAAAAAATATTTTGTATTATTTGTGTCTATATATAAAAATAAAATAGTTTGTATTGCTTTGGTTAAAAGCGTTTGCTAAATATGTCAAATGTGTTTGGGTTTTGAAAAGCACTCAGTCTAATGTAGTTTTATTATTAATGTTTTTTGTTACTGTTTTGTGAACATTTTTGAGGCTTTTCTGAAGGCCGCAGAGTACTACAGGTCTGTTTTCCAGGTTACAGGCTCTAACGCGTTTGGACAGGTTTAGACAGGATCCTGCTCTCTCTGTCTAAAACCCAGCTCCTGCCAGTTGGGGATCAGTTCTCATCTCCTGCTGGACCCTTAAGCAAGTTGTTCCTGAGGTCGAGTGCAGCAGGAAATTATTTACTTTTACCTTTTAGATGAGTCACTTCCACCTTGCACATACGCTTTAATATACATATACCATAAAGTTTGTGTGTCACTCAAAATCCTTGCATGGTAGGAAAGTTCTAATTAGATATTTGAATTCAGTATAAAAAATACTATAGAGTCAGCCCTCATGCATTCGCGCTTCATGATTCACCAATTCACAGATCCACGAAAATTTAATTGGAACCGAACTTATTTGCATCTGCGAAATCCTTGAAAAACCCTACAGAAGTGTGTGTTTAATTTTCATAGCAATTGATAAGTTTTCATGCTTTTAAGTGTAAAATTGGTAAGAAAATTTTAGTTAATGAAGATTCTACTGTGTTTTGGGGGAAAGTTAAAGACATACAATATAACTCGGTTAAATCCCTCAAACATGCCTTTCTTATGGAAACGTTCCTTTTTATGTACATACTGTTCTGTACCTTTACAAGGTGAGAATCCCATTCGCAAAGTTCATTCCCTTTGGAACGCGAATGGTTACATAAATATTAGAAAATATTTACTATTTCCACGTTACACGTGTTACACTTTAACTGAACTTATTTACTTAATTATTGATTGATGGGTTGGTCTGTAAATCAAGCAGAATTAAAAAGATTAATAGCCACAGTTTAATATAATCCTAGAGGCATGTTATAAAACTTAATTTTCCTTAAAAATTAAGAAAAAACTAACAAACATCAGTGACCACAACAGCTGCAAACAGCTTAAAATGCCTGTTCTCAAATATGACAGGCAAGTGCTACAACCCAAATGAGACTTTGTCTTCCTATTAAAAAAACTGATCACATGTATAAAATGACATTCTGTTGGTTGTTCATTTTTTGACTTACTCAAAAACTGCAGAAATTAAGCTTCTCTTCAAATACAAAACGAAAAACAAAGTGACTGATCAAGACAATGCAAATCTCTGATCTGGTACGCAGGCCTTCACAGAAATGTTTCTTTCAGAATGATGATGTTTGGTTTTCCTCTGCGGGGGATAAAAATACCCTTGCATGTCACCCGCTTTGAACAATTAGTCTCTGCTAGTAGTGAGTAGGGGTGGGTTTGCTGTTCCTGGGGTTCCACTCGAAAAGTCACTTTGGGGCCCCTCACCCGCCCTTGTGTTATGACTGTTGACCAGCAGGGGGCCATGCAGATGTGTGATTTGAGTGGCCCAGCAAAGAGGCCTACTTATTCAGACATCATATTCCTTTGCTGACCTGAACTGAGCTGTAAAGTTCAGGAAGTCTTTTTAAAACGCAGTACTCCGTGCCCCCTGATTACCCACCGCTGGTTCGTAATCAGATTGATGGGGTCCAAACTTGGCTCTTTTTTTTTAAACTAATGATGTGTAATGAATGTGTTCTGCTTTTCTGTATCACTCATCGCTTTGTGTAACTATTTCAACTCCCTTGCTGTCTTTTGCGTTACCAAATGTTAGCCTCTTTGGGATTTGTTTATTATTATTATTATTATTATTATTACTATTATTATTTTTGTTGCTGTTGTTATTAGTGTAGTGCTGAAGTTTCCATCCTGTACCCGATAAATTTGTAGCATTTCTGTTCTCCCCTCCACAATAAGGGAACCTCTGTCCTGGTTTCCATTTTCATAATCCTCTGTGTTCCTGCTGTACTTCTGCATTTCCTTTATGAAATTGCACTTCCCTGGTCTGCTGTCTGTGTCCCTAAACTAATGTCCCTGTCCGATGCCTTATAGGAGTCGTGGAGGTCCCTGTCAAATGAGGACGATCCCCCAGCACGTACACCCGGCCTCCCCAGATCGCCCATACATGCCCGGAACGGCACCAATCCCTCCTTCTTCCCGGTAGACCTCATAGACGATGTGTGTGTGCAGCAGAGGGGCGACATCCGAACGCACAGGTGAGCTCACTTACCCTTATATTCGCCGTGCCCCCTACTGGAGGTCGTTGCTATAGCAACCAATGCTGTTTCTAATGCTGTTACATTATTCAGGTAGCATTCCAGTTGTGGGTGCCTTTAGAAGTATTTAATTCAGACTTGAATAAAAAAAATGTTAATACAGTACCCCAGAAGAGCATCTGGTTTCTGTGTGCTGTATAATGCATAACCAAAGCAGAGGCTGAGAGCCTGCAGGTCATTGATATCTTGGGCCTCCGGATACAATTGGTCACTGTCAACATCACGCCCACCTTGCTTTGTTGCTCGCTGTCATTGGTTGATGCAAACAGCTAGGCACAAATGCTTGCTGGCATGGAATGTAACTGTGACATTGTCATAAATGATTCCACATTCCTAAATCAAAACCTTTGTTTGTGGATAGCCTAAACCTAGTCATCCAGGTCAGGGTCTTGGGTGGGGGGGAGGGTTGGATCCTATCCCAGGCAGCATAGGGGGCAAGGCATGGGTAGACCCTAGTTGGGATGCCAGTCTGTCTCAGGGCACATACACGCATGCTCTCAAACTGAGCAAAAAGTCTTGTTCATTTTATATATAATATTTTTAAATATTATTGATGCATTTGGTTTTTCTCAATGTAAATTTTCTGGCTGTTCTCTTGAGGTCCAGCAATTCTTTTGTGTCCTCTGCAGAGGACGCCGTCTTTACTCATATCTCTCATACAACACGTGCCACTCTGAGTCCCATTCTTCCTGAAGACGGCAATTAGGGTTATAAGAGGACATCACGTGTTGTGATGTTTTTATCGTCCCAACATGTCCAAAAAAAATTCCGATTAAAAGACTTGTTTCTCTGGATCTATGGAGGATAAGCAATGCTGCCGTGTGTAATGTAGGAATGTGGCTGCTGTCATTCAGGCCTTTTGTTTTGGATAATGATGACGGGGCGTGTCTCTCCTCTCCTGTAGCTCCCCCCCGGAGCCGGCCATGCGGCGGAGGCGTGGATCTGATGGCGGCATCCCGCCCCCGGTGCCCCCCCGCCCCAACCTGCCCGACGAGCCGGCACCCGATACCCCAAGGAACACGACGGCGCCAGAGAAGCCCGACCACTCCCGCGGCTCCTGGACACCCCTTGTGGCCAAAGTGTGCCTGTGCACCATGGTAGCCATGGGAGCCTATATCTGCTATCGAACCTGGCTGCACTGAGTTGATTGGTTAGCGTGTAGCCACAGTCTGCCTACCCCAGCATGTGGAACTCAGTAAGGTGCTGATGGGGGAGGGGAGGGGGGGCACTTTGTTTCTTCTTTTATTTTTTTGAAATGCAAAGTTTTTTGGGAGGGGTGGGGGGGGGGGTTTGAGGGGCACCCCCCTCCCCCCAGTTTGACTGCCCCCATAGACTCTAATAAGCTCAGGGGCCTCTTGTCAGGTACTGCATCCCACCAAGGAACCAAAACATTTTTACAGCGTTTCTCAGAAAAGCCAGCTGTGTGTAAATGTTCATATTATATATAAAATTCCGTGTAGAATTATATACATGATATGATGTATGTATGTAATACGATACAGTAACCATAACCGCACAGTTTACCGAGACACATTCTTACATTCATGCTTTGATTTCAGCCTTCTGTTTTTCTGGACTCTTCCTGCTTGGCCAGTTTCCTATGCAGTTTCCTCGCTGTGTAAACGGGGACTGTGCAGCTCCTGCACTTCTGCATCATAGAATAAAAGTATGAAATTACAATAAGCAACCAAAAAAAAATAAAAAATCTCACACAAACATCACATAAGCCAAAAGCTAGCAGACTTGTTTCTCCCCTCGGCTTCCTCAGTCTCTGGTTGTATTGTACCTGGGAGTAGGCTGAGACCTGGGAGTAGGCTGAGACCTGGGAGTAGGCTGAGACCTGGGAGTAGCAGTGGAGTAGGCACCCTCTATTGGCAGCTTGGGCAGGCTGGGCCTGCTGTAGAGTAGCCCAGATTTTTTTATTTTTATTACTATTCCTTCTCATTCTTTTCATGCACAGCATCTGGGTGCTTAAAGTTCTCCGTTGATTGACGTTGCTTCCACAAGGCGCTCTCTCCATAGGCAGTCGCTGAAGAAGCTCTTGGTTTCCTGTTTTGTCATTTAATTTAATTTTAGTAAAAGAAATTTTTACGGTGCCCTGTCGTGTCTGCTGTGTCAGGCAGGTTCTCTGACAGTATTCGTTCCCTCATACCTATGCCAAAGCCACTGCCTGCCCCAGCTTCTTGATGTCGCACTTGCACTTGGACTATTTAAGTGGCTCCATCTAGTGGATGGGCAGGGGATAGCACCTCCTTTCTCAGGGCAGCCTATTTATTTTATACGTCAATGCTGTGGGTGGCACTCAAGTCATGTCAAGGAGTCCTTCAGTTATATGGCATCACTTTGCTTGCTGTTCTTTCTGTTTGCGCTTTAGACGGCAATAAGAGCGTGTTGCATCTTTTTCACCATGCAAAGTACACCCTCCAATCCAGATGTCTTGGTGAGGCAGGGCCACGAAAACCAGTGACCAGCATAGTGACCACAAATGGTGGGGAGGGGGGGGGGTCATTAACAATTAGCTGGCCGAGTAGTCTTTGCTGGCGTCGGTGGTAGTCTCCCGTTAAATATAGAAGTTTTATCCCATTGGGACTTGGTTCGGTATCCTAGGATGGACACTGTTGGCTGACTGGCCTCAGGAGAAGGATGGTAGGCATGTCTCTCTTTTCCTCCAATCAGGTTTTGCCATGCTGGGTTTTGGGGAGGCGAATTCTGACTTGGGACATCCCCAGGGGTTCGTCACCTGTATCTGTTAAATTTCCAGTCCTCTGTATATATGCTCATTGACTTAAAATAATATTTTACCAGTATTATCAATTATCTTTTTAAAAAAAAAAATTAAAATGAAAAAGAATAGTGTTTTGTCACTTTTTTTTGAGATCAGACACATTTTTAAGATTTTATTTTCAGACTGAACGCTAAATGTCAACCATATTAATAAATGTTGTCACAGAACATGTCTGCTGTGTGCCTCATTGGCCGGACCTCATCCCTTCCATCTCTGTGAACCTTTATTGGCGTCCTGCCCTTTAAGCTGCTCTATGGTTCTGAACTGTCGTAATAATTGCCTGTGTTTCGCTGCCACCGCCTTTTAAAATTTGACTAAAGTTCTGATGTGCTGTACGTATTTTTAGACATTCTGTTCAGTAAGATGAAAGTGCCCACACTCTCGGTTAATGGTTTATCACAATCTTTCTCAACCCGGTCCTCAGAGACACTCAGCCAGTCCACATTTTTGCTCCCTCTCTGCTCCCAGCCAATTAAATACACTGAATACCTGGTACAGGTGTGTTGGGAGTGAGGAGGGAGCAAAAATGTGGACTGTCTGGGGATCCTCAAGGGCTGGGTTGAGAAACACTGGTTTTTTGCATTAGCAGAATTAAATGTCTCTGTATAGAAAGAAACTAAAAATGTCATATTTCTGTCAGTGCGGTCAATTTGAAGTGGTTAAGCATCTGACCTCTCTGGAAACAATGATTTGGTTTGCATGTCCAGTGGTTATCGTCAGGCTTTGTGTAGTCAGATCAATCTGCTTACATAAGTACAAATATTTCAGCTAAACTCGTCCCATGTTTGCTTTGCTCTATATCATGTTTTGCCACCAGGGGGAGCAGTATTTCTAGTTATGGTAAAAAAAAATTTCGTTACTCCTGGACATTTTCCAAAATATGCGACCACTGTGCTCTGTGACAAGTCATATTGTTTTTTTTTTCTTTCTGTAATTCATATTACCACTTATGACGCTGTTCACTTTTTATGATTAGTTGCATAATGATATATTAATCATTTTGAAGACACATTTAAATCCTTGGTGGGCAGAGTGATTTTATCATTGGGCCCCAAGTTCCTACAGGAACTGGCAGACCCTGCTTTTCCAATTGTCCGTTGTTTTGGATAAATCCCTCCATTTAATAAATAAAATGTGAAATATAGATCTCCATAAGTTTAAGCCTGATATCCTGAGTAGGAGGATATCAGGCCACTTTAGACTGCCTGTACCAAGGCTTTGGACGTGTCATTTCCTGTTTGCCAGAACGGTGACGGAGAGCTTTTGTCAGCTGTTACGGATGGTGCTCGGGAGCACCACACACGTGTGGCACTGAACACGCTTCCGCTCGCTGTCAGCCGACATAGCTACTCATAAACGTTGGTTTGTGTAGATGATCAGAAGCGTGTTCAGGCTGCTGGCAGGTGATGTTCTCCTGACAGGCTTCTACAGGTCTGACAGGAAGTAGCTTTTGACAGCTGAACTCAGAGTCTAGCTAAAATCACCCCCTAACTCCCTTTTATTTCGATTTCAAGAATGACATTGAGTGTGTAAGGAGCTTTTAACGTGAATTGTTTTGGACTTTCTTTTTTAATTACTTGTATGAAGGCTGTCCTGAGTATTACGGTTTTTTTTTTTTTTTTGGACGTTTTTCGCTGAGGAATCCTTCATTTTTGACGTCGGATGTCTCTGCTCTGACATGGGAACCTTGAGGATCCACGTTAAGACCCCCTGTTCGCAGATATCTCTGCAAAGTCAGAGACCTCAGGAAGTTTTACATGTTTGACCCTGATCTCAAACGCCTGACCGGTGACTAATCGTCAAATAAGGTCATATGGAAAGAATGACAAATGCAAAAAAAAAAGAGGAAAAAACTAAACGGATCAAAGTGGTCCGCCGCCGTTGCATCCTGATCTCGGGTTTTCCCTTGCGCCGTCCCTCGTGAGCACTGTTTGAGCCGTCCCAGTCATCACGGTGGAGGACCAGACACTGGGTGATTACGAAGGGATGCTTTGGGACGCGGTTGATGATCAGGGGTGCTGCCGAATTGCACATGATCAGAGTCGCGCTTTGGTGAAGCTGCAGGGAGGAAGACCCACAGTTTGGCTCTGGAGTGGCGGGGGGCTGTTTAGAGCCTCGCCCTCGCAGTCGGGCGCAAGAAGCGGGGGGAGGGAGCACGGACGTGCATGGTGCACAGGAATGAGAGTGAGTCAGAGCACCTCCCAGCCATGCTGCTGCTGACGTCAATACACAGGATGGAACAGGCTACACTGAGCAACCCTAGGAAAAGTACAGCTACTGTAAGGAGTGGCCAGGGACAGGAAGTGGCCTTAAAGGGAAAGTGCTGACTGCCCCCCCCCCCCATCCCACCCCAACAAAACTCAAGCTGTGCTTCTGAGTCTGTCCAAATTCACAATTTTTGCTGAAGATTCTACGGAAACTTCACTATGATGTTTTAGAGCAAAGTCTGCTTCATGTGTATTTATGTTTTAAGAACCAAATGATTATTGAAGCATTTATTTATTTGACACTTTTTTTCCCCTTATTGAAAAAAACTGGGTTAGATGGTCCCTGTAATAACTGGGGGTTAATGGCCTTGCTCGAAGGTCCGAAAGTGAAGTAACTCCACTTACACAGAGATTTGAACCAACAACCTTCTAATCGCAGACTCTAACCCACTGAGCTACCCACCACCTTAGGCTGTCCTGGTGGCCTTTGACCTCATCAGATGTAGCCTCCTCTGCTATAGATATAGTTTTGGAACTTTTCCAAAGTAATTTCTGATAACGTATGGGAGCCAGAGGTGGAAAGTTCAGGTCCAGGAAATATAAATCCAGACCAAGGTTTTGTTTCACCGACCAGTTGATTACTCTGTGACTGTGACTCTTCATGCAAATCTAGTAGCTTTAAACAAAACCTGGTCTGGATTTGTACTTTCTGGACCTGAACTTTACTTTCCACCTCTGATTGGAGCCTATGGTAGCACAGAATGTGTTACAGAAATTAATTTTCTTCAAGTCCAGTAGTAATGTTTGATGTAACCTTAGCTGGGATACCTGTTCTCTGTAACTTGTAGAAAATACATTCACCTAAAATGACCAATTTCTATGCTACACATAATGTTGACATTTATGTTTTCAGTTCGTAATTCATAGAATTCAGTTGATATTGATAGTAAAGTGCCACGTATTTCAGGCACTTATTGGTTTTTCTGGTGGTTTCAACTCGACCTGAAAACGACAGTCACCCCTACTCGTACTGAGAATATGTCAATGAGCACTTATGGCTGATTTATCTGCAATACTGTAAAAGGTGTGCATTTAATTACTGCATGGTTAAATCTGATTCCTTTCTTCCAGATGTCTAAACGGTCTTCTAAGAATTGGGTCTTTCTTGCGAAGTCATTTTACAAACGGGATTCCAGTAAATTTAGCTTGTGGAATGTAATGTGGATGTGCCTGGATTTCGTCATCATCCTAATGTGCTTAAGGAAAAAAACAAGCAAAAACTGCATTCAGACATCCATCAATGAGACGATTCTGCTGTTATTCATTATTTTCTCTGCCTTCTCCCATTTCTTTAATGTTCATTCATGTTATTCTGTGTTCCTAAAACCAAGGGCTAGAAGGGTGCAAATGGCCAGTAAACTCATCCGCTGGCCTCCATCCTGTGAACAATCTCACGAGGTTTTGTCCACAGTTCTCCTCCTCTGCTTCTATTCATATAAAAATGCCCTCTACAGATACGGCCATTGTTTTTGATTTTTGCAATGTGCAAATTGTGCAATGAGCAACGGCACCGCCATCGTTTCATGTGTCCCGGATTCTTCCGGGAAATGAAAACTAACAAAAAAAAAAAAGACGACCCTCACAGCTTCATTTAAAATGCCTGGTCGTCGTGTTTTCACGCAGCCTCTGTGCTAATTTTCCAATTCAGTGAAAGACCTTGGCAATTGCTCTTTTTTTCAGCCAGAGAGATAAACTCGCTGTACAAAAACCCTTCAAAACACGTCCGAGTTACTCATTGACTTGGAACTTCCCAGCTGTTCGCCAAGGGGATAAAGGTGCTGTTATGGGAGGGGTTACGCCTCCACTCTGACTATTAGTCTTTTTTTTTTTTTGCTTTAGTTCCTGGAGTCCTGTGTTTCTGGAAACTCCAGAAACTAAAACCATGTGGCGGGAAAAGCTTTCAAGGGCTGGCCTGTCAGGCTGTCTCACAGGCAGCTGTGTGTGTCCGAGCCTCCCCTTCGCCTGTGTAAGCTGGGCAGTCGGAAGGACGCTTGGCCTCTCGCTCAGACTATGAAAGACTGACACCAGTTATTTTTAATGCATTATCCACTGTCCTTTCCTTGGCAGAATATAAATAGATCCTCCTCACTTCATTAGATTGGCATTTATGCCTTTTCAATTCAGTTCTGTCACATTTTGGCCAAAATAAGAGTGCTCTCCATCAGTGGAAAGCATGATGACAGGCCAATGAACTACATAACGCATAATTAATAAGGCATAATGAATATATGAGGTATAATGAATACATAAGGTACAACTATTGCCAATATTCTCCTTAGTTTTTCATGAGTAGCGAAATAGAATTTTCCAGACTGAATGAGTTGTGGATCTGCAGTCTTTGACAGATATGTGTTGTATTGTTAATATGTCGTAAGTTTGCACGGCTGTTACCTCAGCCAGGTCTCTCTTGTAAAAGAGATTTCTAATCTCTTTGGGACTTCCTGGTAAAATAAAGGTAGGTAAATAAGTACCTGGGATCCTATATATGTATTTTTTCCCCTCAAATTAAATTAGTGTAGTAGAAGAGGATATTTTAATTTGCTAATGGTATGACAGTTCAGATTAAGGTATATGTTATTTCCATGGGTTTTGTACATGATTTTTAGTAAATGGTGTGTTTGCACTTTAAGGTGGGTGTAGAACAGAAATTTGAGGAGACCAGGCTTGTTTAAGGTGTGTGTGGGGGTGGGGGGGGGGGCGAAAGCTGTGTTTTTTTTTCTCATTTTCTTGGAAGTGTTTCCTCTTCATTTGAGACGCTGAGGGTTTTACACTCATTCATATTACCACGGTCCTGCATTTCC